AATGATTGTAGTATCAGGCTGCAACATAACAAAATTGAAAAAAGTGAAGGGGGTCTGAATACTTTCCGAATGCACTGTATATGTGATTCAGAAAAGTTTTATAAAGAATTATACTTATTGTTATGCAATCTGAGTATTTAGACTGTCAAAATTTGTACTTTATGTATTTATTTTTATTCTCCCATTCCTTCAAGAATTCTAAGTGGCATATTAAGCATTCCCACCTCCAATTTTTCCCTTGTGAGGTTGGTTTTGCTGAGAATGGATTGAAAGTAGACCTTCTAGTCTAGTGATGGCAAACCTATGATACGCATGTCAAAGGTGACATGCTACAACATTCTGGGTGACACACCAGCATTCACTAACACCCAACAACTATTCTTCCTGTTTGAGTTACCAAAGAAACTGAGTTTCTTTTACTCATATATCATGTTTGTAATTATTTGACATTTCTTTATATAATACATAGCACCACACATGATTGGACTGTATTTTTCTAAAATAAATGAATACGTAAAGAATTGTTTCTCATTTGTTCGGCAGGGGGGAGGGTAACACGCCAGCAGAGTCAAGTTAGGCATTTTCTGAATTTTTGACACACCAAGCCCATCACTATTCTAGTCCAACATCTTAACCACTATACTACACTCTTCCATGTCATTAAGGATCACTGTCTTGCTCTGCTCAGTAATTGACTAGCCTGTGTTTCTGAAAACATTCAAGCACTTAACTTTCAAGTGTCCCATCAATTATAGAATATCATCTGGTGGGACCCAGGAGACACACCTACTCTTGCAATTCCTGTCCTCTGGAATGAGTTCCCACCCTTCTGTTGTTTAGGAAATTGCTAAAGACTGGGTTGTTCTCCTAGGCCTTGGGGACAGGATGACTCTGAAGTCCCCATTTTGTTTTGTTGGTTTGATTCATTCTGGTTTTGTTTTGGTATTTTGCTCTTCCGGTCAGTTGTATTTTCTAAATGTTGTATTTTCTGTTATATAAGTTGGCCCCAGTCATTTGGGGGCCTGCCAGCTAATAAATAAAAAAAAATAATTACTTTTGTTTTAAAGGCCAACAAAAATAATTAAGACAATTATTCAGCTGTGCCCAGGGATTTTGGGATTACCTCTTGGTCACATTTAACCAAAAGTTGGTTAAATTGCAAATAATTATGTTAAAATGTTATAGCAAATAGTTTTGATAAAGAAAAAAGAAAAAAGGAAAGAAAATGCATAACAACTTGGATTTAAAAAGCCATTCATAAGATACAAACACACTAATTAAATACAACAGCAACTGATGGCCACAGAAAACAGAAGCTAGGAGACTCATGGTCAGCTTTGACATGCAGAAGCCTAATACCATGCCCTCACCCTATTTTTAATTATAAAGTACACTTGCCTACTAATTACACACTCAAAAGACAGACGCCAGGCCTGGCATTTACTAGGAAAGTCCCCTTCAGCGTCTTAGACACTTAGACACTCCCTCTTAGTCTCAAAACAGCAGGGAAGCCGAAAGGCACAGCGCACATGCTCAGGAACACTCTCTTCCCACGGGTTTTCCAACTTTCGGCGTGCAGCCCTGCCTTCCCAAACAAGTTCCACAGCCAAGTTTTTCCTTACACGAACTCTGGGGCTGCCGTTTCGCTTTGCCCAGGCCAGCGGGATCCGGGCTCGGCAGGCCAAACTCGACATCAGCGCTTGGCCCCGCGGTCACTTCTGCTCTGCCCGAGTAGGCCTGCTTCTTCCTACCCCTACAACCCGCTCTGCGAGGACCCGCCGCCACCGCCTCCTTCCTGGTCGTCCCCGGCCCAGCGCTATTCTCAGCAACGCGCCGTCTCTGCTCCTCGCATACTTTGGACTCGGTCGAGTTCCCTTCTGCCTGTCTGCGTCGTACCGGGATAGCTCAGGCCGCTCCCCGCTGCCTTGACCTGCCTGCCTCTCCAGCTTCCCACGTTTTCGTGCCCCCCCCGCCCCCTCTCACCGAAAATGCCCTGTACGATACTGAGAGGGCAGTTCAGCCAATCCGCCACACACGGCATCTTTTCGGTTCTTCAACGCTTTAAGGCCAGGAGACACGCCAAGGTCTTCAGAAACCTGCTTTCCGGAGGCCACACGCCAGACAAGGGCGCTAATACAGCGGGCGAGCGTTCCAGGCTGGGCTGAAAGCGGCGCAGCCAGGCCGAGCTGACTTCCCCTCACTTCACTTCGCCTCTCAGCGCGGGCTCGGGTTGGCGGGAGAAGAGGGAAGAGAACGGCGGCAGCTCCCGCCGCGCCAACTTATAGTCGGGGGGGGGGGGGCGGGGCCCCCCGGGGGGGGGGGCGGGG